ATATATATATGTATATATATATATATGTATATAGAAACATACATACATATATACACAAGTACATGCATACAATCATGATCCTCTATAAAAGGGTTAGTTTTAAGTGTTGAGGTTACATAATTCTTTGATATGCTAGTATTCTCAATATTAAAAATTTGAGTAATGAACATGCTAGGTGAGAATTCAAGAGAAATGTATTATGTTCAAAGTTTCTTAACAGGCAATTTTTTAGTTTTTACTGTTTTTTAATAGCATAGAGTTTAGGATGAATACGTGTTAATACATAACTCCATCATTACAAAATAATCATTTTTTCAACGCCAATATATTTAATACACTTGTTTAAAGTTGATCCAATGGTTCCTCACATTATACTCATATTCCTCGTCGCAATCACACAGCGATCTCTACTAGAGGAAGTATACTTGAGCTGTAGAATTCTCAAAATTCCAAAATTGTAAGCTCCTAAAAGAAGTTGTAGATCCACCATAATCTAACTAGCTTTGAAAGGCATTTGCTTCGCATGAACTCCCGAAAATGTGAAGATCTCTTTTAGCTTAATACTAGAGTAAAGTTATAATCTTGCTATCATAGATATCTCAAAAATCCAGAAATACATAGGTCTTTTCAGCCTTATTTATTATATTGTGCAAACGAAGAAATAATTACATTGGAAAGAGATATTGTTGTTGTAACTAAATCAATAGTTTGGCTATTCGTATCCTAGATTGAATCAGATTAAAATATTTCTTTGATATTGAATAATAATAATAATAATGACAATTATAGTAACTTGGGGTTGCTGCGACTGTACTTTGTGGGTTCCATTCTTCATATGAGTTTGATGTCTTACTCCCACTTATTTAGATTAATGTTTAGCTGAAAATCTTGATGAAGAATTATTTATACCCATATTCTATTTTGGTAATTGATTTTTCATTCATCAGGAGTAACATAGAAGATATCAAAGAGAGATTGTCCACATTAAAGATGGAGGAGATGCAATACCTTCAGTCTCTCTTGCAAAAGGTTTTTTTAATTAATTATTTCCGTTAGCGTTTTTTTTAAATACTGAGAGTATATTATATATAATCTTGATATTTAAATATAGTTTCTTTTTTATGTTTGGGATGTATTTGCCATAAATTTTTTGTCACAGGTTGAAGAACACAACAGCAGCATGGAAACTCAAATACAATCACTCAAGAAAAATCAGGACCAAATAAATGCTTTGAATGCAGTGGAGAAGGTATTTCATGTTTCTGGTGTTATATTGTATGGGGATTTACATACATAAAGCTAAAACCTTGCATATTTATATATCTCACATCTAATTTCTTCTGCTTATCTGAATGTCTTCCAAATATTTAAACAATATTTATCCCCATGAGGTGCAATATTTGGCATATTTGTTATTATTTAGAGACTATCATGGTATGCGGCAAAGTAAATTGAATTGGATGTTATATCACTAAATAGTTACGTTTCTAATGCTTTGCATGTAATTCCCTGGTTGTAGTTTGTGACACTCATTATTATTTTTGGAACATTTACTCATATA